GTGTTCAGAAGCAGTGTACCTGTCAAATAGTTAGATGCTGAAAGAGTGACCGTCGGCCAGCCTCTTTCTCTGTCTCTTTCTTTCTCTCAGGTGACCTACCTCATAGGGTGGTTGTGAAAATAAAATGGAGAACCAAAATGGCAAATTTGTACAAGGAAGGTTTTTTTAAAAATACCTAAAAGTGGAGCTTCCGTGTTCGGAAGTAGTGTACCTGTCAAATAGTTAGATGCTGAAAGAGTGACCATGGGCCAGCCTCTTTCTCTGTCTCTTTCTTTCTCTCAGGTGATCTACCTCGCAGGGTGGTTGTGAAAATAAAAGGGAGAACCATTATACTGTTGCATTAGAGGAAGGGATAAAAATGCAACAAACGACATCAGCTATTTTGGATGTCTGGATAGTTCGGTGTATAAATAAATGTCTTTGTTTATTGGACGTCCCTTCTTATCAATTGTACTGAGACACTCTGTGATCTGCCGTGAGCCAAAGTGAGAAAGGGGAACTATTAAAATAAATAGGAACAGTGTAAATATTGGGAGAACGCAGCTAATAATAGTCAGTTAGCTATTGGAGTAAAGGTCAACAGGGTTGTTGCTGTTGTTGTTCAGTCGCACAGTCGAGTCCGACTCTTCACAACCCCCCTGGACCACATCACGCTGGGACCTCCTGTCTTCCGCCGTCCTCCGTAGTTTGCTCAACTTCATGTCCATTGCCCCATAACACCGTCTGACCATCTCATCCTTTGCCGTCCCTCTTCTTCTTTGACCTTCAGTCTTTCCCAGCATCAGGGTCTTCTTCTCCAGCGAGTGCTCCCTTCTCATTGGGTGGCCAAAGTATTTGAGCTTCAGCTTCAGTCTCTGGCCTTCCAGGGAACGGTCAGGGTTGATTTCTTTTCTTGATTTCAACAGGGGACTTGTAGTGAAAATTCCAACCCAGGATATGTCGATGCTGGCCATGTACTTATTGGGGGGAAAGGGCGTCTAAAGGCAGTTAGATGGATAGTCCCCTTTAAAAATACAAATTGACTATTGTAAGGAAGTGTAGCACTCTATCTAAGAGAGCTCTGAAATATCAGACGAATCAATGTTTAGGAAAATACTGATGCTCAAGATATTGTCGGAGAAGAGTAAATTTTGAAGGGATTGGCAGAGATGGTAGAAGTGGATGAACAGTCATACTTCATTTTGAGAGTTCCTTAAGCTACTGGGAGCTGGACGACTGTGCCTGTAGACTTCCAAAGCCAGTTCTTCACTGTTCCTGCATCCGACTTAACCACGATTAGTTGCTGTAGATTTTTCAGGCTGTGTGGCCGTGGTCTGGGTATCGTAGGACCTCACGTTTCGCCAGTAGCCGTGACTGGCATCCTCAGAGGTATAACACTGAAAGATGGAGTACTCTCGTGTCATGGTTAACCATGTTAACCATGATTCTCTCTCTCACACACATACCCTCCATTAAGAACAAAACAATTGAGATCCAGCTTGGTGTTGGATCTCTCAGGTCTGGATTCGGCCATAAAGCCCGCTGGATGAGCTTGGGCCAGCCACTCTTTCTCTGCCTGCCCTACTTCACGGGGCTGTTGTGAAGATAAAATGGGGGGAGGGGGATGTATGTTGCTCTGAACTCCTTCAGAGGAGGGTAAATAGTGGAACATCCCGTTTCCACCAGAGGTCCATGTGGCTTTGGGCCACTCACCCCCGTTGCTTGCCCCCAGCGTTTTCAGAAAGTATTTGAATGTTGTGGTTTTGTTTTATATACTCTCTGCCAATTATATTTATAACTATGCAAGTCTTCTTGCTAGACTAAAGAGAACAGCAATTATGATTACGTTTTGGTTAAAAAAGCATAAAGATTGTCATTGTCTTCCAGTTGCAGATGATACCCGCCAGATATGAAAAAATGGGCTAGCGTTCTGGCAGCTTGTGAAAAAATAAAAGTTTTTCTTTGATGCTACTTTAGGACTTTTCTCCTTCTGTAAATATCATTCCCCCGTGGACAGTTCTTCTTTATTAGTATCAGGAATTGCTTCCCAGAAGACGCCGAACCAAGTTTGAGTCCAGCGGCACCTTTAAGGCCTACAAAGCTTCATTCTGGGTATAACCTTCCTTTGAAGTGGACGGCGCGCACGAAAGCTCAGACCCAGAACGAAACTTTGTTGGTCTCACCAAACCGGACTCAAACTTTGTTCTGCGCATTTAGGAGTAAGCCCCGTTGAATGCTGTGGGGCTTATTTATGGGTAACTTGTATTGTATGAGTTAGAAGTCAGTTGTGGGCGGGTAGGTATGGGAGGGGAAGTCATGTCTGCGGTTGATTATTCATTTTCCCTGGAAAGCTGCTAATCCTGAGAAACACCAACTTAATATAAAGTGATATATCGACAGTTGAGCCCCTTAGGGTGATTATAGAAAGTGTGAAAAAGAATGTTGTCAAGGCCGCTTCCTCTACACTGGATCTTTGTCCCATCCTGGCTATTAAAATCATGCCAGGAGAAGGTTCTGAAACCTTTGGGGAAGATTATTAATGAGTTTTTCTTTCGAGGGGACGTTTCTTTCTTTCTGTTTAAAAGAGTTTTATTATTTGTCAGAAAAGAAAAGAAAAAGACAACAACGACACATATAAGAGACTAACATACAACAGAGAAAGAGCATGTACTCATTATGTCAACTTATTTTTTGCATAAAAGGAGTCATTCATTTCTGCACCTAGACCAATTTAACAGTTAAAGTCTAGATTATAATTTTATATTTAGTTTACAAGTCCTTGAAGATAGTTCTCGATCCATTTGTAGAGTCTTGACCAATTTTTCTCAAAAATCCCCTCTTTTTTATCTTGCAGTTGTAAAGTTAATTTGTCCATTTCCGCCGTTTCCAGTAGCTTGTAGATAATGTCTTCTTTTGATGAGGTTTCTTCTTTCTTCCAATATTTTGCATATAAAATCCTAGCCATGGTTATAACATGTATAACCATATACGTTTCTGGTTTTTTAAAAACACTCTGGAATAATATTCAGTAAAAACAATTCTGGTACAAATGGTATAGATATTTCTAGCATTTTTTGTAATATCTCATGTATCCATATCCAATATTTTTTTGCTATCTTACAAGATCACCACATGTGAAAGAAAGAACCAACATTTTGCTTATATTTCCAGCATACATTTGACATATTAGGATACATTTTTGCTAAGATCTCTGGTGTTATGTATCATCTATAAAACATTTTATATATATTTTCTTTATAAGATATACGGTAGCTTTTGTATATTTAATGTTAGTTTTCCACACCTTAGAATTGGTCTAATTCTATATTATGAGCTATGTTTTGTGCTCATTTAATCATTGAAGGGGACGTTTGTTTCGCAACTCAAAGAAGCTGCGATCCTTAAGAAGTCGTCCTGAGATAAGAGGGACGTGGCAATCATCAACCTGTGTTTAATCTCCACTTTGGAGGCCAGGTGACCCAGACGGTCCGGGGAGATCAACTGCTGGCATTTCTGGATAAGACTTCTGCCCTTGACCCATTTCAGTCTGGCTTTAGGCCGAGGTTTGGGAATGAAACTGCACTAATCAGCCTTGGGTGACGATCGTCCCTCGGATAACGGCAGTCCATCACTGCTGATATCGTTAGACCGATCAGCAGCGTCGGATACGGTTTGACCATGATAATTTGG